AGAAAAAAATAAGTTGTACATACTGCTAAATAAAAAGATGAATTTTTTCACCCCATAAAATGTGAAATAAATTATATGATAAGCTATGTGACAGAGAGACGAAGATAAATGATAAAATGCGAAACAATTATGCGATATATAGACGGAGATAATTGATAAGATACAAAACAGAGAAGCAGACAAACATAATTGATAAAATGCGAACTAATTATGCGAAAGCTATGTGGCACGTCGAAGATAATTGATAAAGTGTGATAAGTTATATGATACGTTATGCGATAAATAGACGAACATAATTGATAAAATACGAAATATTATGAAAAAAGCTATACAACAGACATGCGAAAATAATTGATAAAGTGTCAGATATTTATACAATAAATTGTGCTACAAACAAGCAAACATAATTGATAAAGTGCAATAAAATATGCGACAGACTGGCAAAGATAATTAATGCAAAAAAACTATGCGACAAACAGACGAAGATAATAGATAACATTATGCAAAAAGATATTAGACAGATAGTCGAAGATAATTGATAAGAGTGTGAAATATTTATGTGAAACAATATGCGACAGACAAGCGAAGACAGTAGATAAAGTGCGAAAACATTATGCGAAGAGCAAATCAACAGTGAGGCAAAAACAATTGATAAAGTGCAAAATATTTATGTGAAATAAAATCTGACAGACAGACGAAGATAAATGATAAAGTGCAAAAATATTTATGCGAATCGATATGCGACAAGAAGGCGAAAATAATTGATAAATTTCGAAACGTTATGCGACAGATAGGCAAAGATAACTGATAGAGTGCGAAAAGTTATTCGAGAGACATGCGAAGATAATTGATAGAATGCGAAAGAAATACATTATGCGATCAGGCTAAGATAATTTGTAAAGTGCGAAATAATTATGCGATAATAGGAGAAGTCAATTTCTGCAAAAAGCTATACGACAGATAGACGAAGACAATTGATAAAGTGCGAAATAGTTATGCAAAAATTATATGCGACAGATAGGCGAAGATAACCGATAGTGCGAAATATTTATGCGAGAGACAGGCGAAAATAATGGATAGAGTGGGAAAATATTATGCGATGTGTAACACCCCGCTTTTCGTACATTGAATTTCAAGAATAAAATTTTCTTTTTATAAGACATTTTAAAACTTAACTTGGAACTCAGGGTGCTACTTACTTTGAAAAATACGTTTCATACATAATCCTTTCATAACCATAAAACTTTTCATGAACATAAACATTTCATACGTGAACATAGAACATATCATGGCGTTGTCTTGAGAACTTATACTTTAACTTGACTTGCATGAACCATGATTTATTTTATAAAATAAACTTTGCATAGCGGAAGCTTTTAAAACATAAGTATCATAAATATATAAACATGTGACCACCCTCGCCATCGCTCCATTGCCAGCTCGCCAAAACCTGGGTGTGGAAAACAAATGGGGTGAGCATTTCGACTTACTCCGTGAGAGATCCCTCTACGTTATCATCCTAATCAACTATAAAGCATGAAATCGTTTTCGTATACTCCACATAATCATGAGCTCCCGACGAGTGGTGACCTACAAGTCGAAAGACTTTCTTGCTTCTACAACCCTATTAGACAACTAAACACTAGAGTCTTTGCATGCAGGCAATTACATTCTTGTCACACTCCCACCACTCATCAAACTTCTTATACCACTTTATGGTGGTGGAAGAACAATGCCTCTCGCAGATGGCACGACCAATTAGGCTTGATGAGAGTACCTTTCAATAGGTTGAAGGAAGATAGCCTTTCACTAGGCTCCGTACAGTCTTATCGACGGGGACAACGGTTCGAAGAGTGCACCAATGAAGGTTACACATAATCACTTACACCCTCTAACCCTAGCACTTAGCTACCCTCTGGAGTTATAGTCCGTGAACCTTGGTACTGCAACAAACGACTTGCTCGAATGTTGAAAAATTATATAAACATGGATACTATGCAAGCTACTTAACTTCATTCATAGCATAGATAATTAAAGAGGATTAATAAAGTAGAACTTCCCCCACCTTTTCAATAGAATGCTCGGCTTAGACTTGAACTTG